ATCAGCCAACGCCAACCAACACCAAAAATTTTTTAATGTCAGCTCGAATTTTTTCGCTGTAGCATTTTTCTTTTTTTTGTGCCTCGGTATCACTTCTGAGGCGTCTTTTAAATTTCCAGTATGCTTGTTTACACTTCTTTCCCGTAGAGAGGGTATTCTGGTCATTGATGGAATTCCTAATTTAATTTCCCTTTAAAATTTAGTTCATGAATAAATTTTCAGATACCGGAGTTTCAATGATAGTCGTCTAAACACGCTGTTTAATGTTTAACGCTTTTTTCTCTCCCTACTCATCGATAAAACCCTTCAAAACCATTTTGAACCTTAAAATCTTTCCCTGAGCCTACAATACAAAAAACATAAAAACTCCTGTCAAAAGTTACTGAAATTCTCAAGTATAAGAAAAATGTTAAATTTTCCACTGGATTTTTTAAAACCCATTCCGTTTTTTTCTGCTTTTCGGGAATTGGGTTTCCAGATTAAGCCTCGTTGGGACCGTTGTCGTACCCTTGGGACTGTTGTCGGAACGTTGGGACCGTTCTCGGAACATTGGGATCATTATCGGAACAATGGGACCTTTGTCGAAACAATACGACCGTTGTCGCAATTGTTGGGACCGGTGGTCCGATGATGGGACCGGCGGTCTCGATTTGGGACCGGTCTTTTTGGGATCGGAAAGAGCCGAATCTTCTTACTGAAAACTCGTGTTTTTCTGGATGTTTCTTCTCTGTGCCCTTCTCCTCTTCTCCCAAAATTTCTCATTATCTCGCCCCTAATTTCATTGTACTCCACTCCTTTTTCCACTTCTCTTTTTGTGGTCCCTCACTCGGTGCCCTCCACCCCCGAAAAACTCAAAGGACAAGGCTCCGTTGTGTTATTTGTCTGTTTTAATTTTTAAAACAATCATTTGACTTTTAAAAAACTTCGCTGATAAGAAACGGATTATGCATAATATGTTTTCTTTTTTGTCGTTTTTTACATAGTCCATTTTTAATTTTTTTTAAACAACAAGACTCTATGGTTCTCCATAACCTGCACAAAAAAAGAAAGATATACAAAACAACTTTGGGCGAAATCTAGATTAGTTTTTTTTCCGTATATTTTTCATACAACCTCCGTAATTCACTATCTTGGCAGAAGCTTACTTTTTTCTCCAAAAAGAATATCACTTTCTCATTAGACCTCTCTGAGATATTCCCATAATGAGAATGAGCAATACAAATCGACAAAGAAAGGGCATGTGTCCTATTGTAAAAAGGGTCTGTTCTAATTCATCAAATTCTTCCAGTCTAATGAGTTCATTTTTGGTTTTTTCACACTATTTTCAGGTGTCGTTTCTAAGAAATGTGCCTTTTTCTAAAGTTTCCCTGACATCTGCTATTAAAAACTGTCCACGATAGTCTTTTTCTGGTACTTTTTTAAAGAATTTTTTCCCGCGTTTTCCAATCGGAAGTAGAGCGCATTTGCAATAGTATCCAGTTTAAATATTCGACATTGAGTAAAAAAATATTCTGAAAGAACCAGTTGTATGCAACCACAGAAAAAACAATCATATTTCATTAGATAGTGCGTCACAGAAAGTTGTATCCAAAAACAAAATCAAATGTAGCTGAAAAATTGATCAAGTTGGATTATGATTACAATTTCAAATCTGCCAGAGAGAAGATTTTTATCTGATTGAGACTGTTTTATTCCAATCAAAATTTTTCAACCGAGATTAATTCTGATAACTTACCGTATTTGATCAAATACAAGCTCACCAAAACCGTCAACTTTGAGCTCAATTATCTCGGTTTCGGTGAATAATGTCGAAGATTTGTCAACTGATAAAATGTTCATAATAATATAATCAATATTTTATTTGTTGACAACTTTCTGATATCTTTTGGAACCGAGATAATTGAGCTCAAAATTGACGGTTTGGGTGGGATTCTATTAGAGAGATTAAGGTATACTCAAAAACCAACAAAACTTACTTTTTTCCATGCAAAAAATCCCCGAAAATGCCATGTTAATCATCGCTTTTTTGTTGACAACAACCTTTTCCATTCCATCCGTTTCCCTTCAAAAAACTGCCAAAAAATGAGCACCTCTTTCCAAGAGAAAATGCGAAAATTCAGGTGTGTTGTGCACTTCCGAGACGACAGCGAAAACGATGAAAACGAAAAAGGTGTGAAAATATATACGTCTTCTTCTTTTTGTCGTCTTCCTCCTTTCAACGTCTTCTTCCATTCCGAAATATCTTTTGCTCCCCCTCTTGTTGCCCCAGGTGACCAACACATTTGCTCCTTCTGAGGACGAGAGAAGATATCTTTCCCTCACTCTCTCCCTCTCAATCGAAGGCGTGCCCCCCCCCCCCCCAAACCTTCAACGTCTTTTACTTCGTCTTTTCATGTCCCCATCCGAATCTTTCTTCACCTTTTCCTTGCCACCTTATTTACCTATTGTCGTCTGCTGCTTTTCTCTCTGTTTCTCTTTTTTTTGGTTCCTCTAGGGGGTTGTAGGTGATTATGAACTTTTGGACTACACTCGATCTTTCCCAGTGATCTTTTTGGTTTCAAAAGTTATAGGCATTACTCATTTCCCAGTTCATTCAGTCAATGTTGTAGAAAAACGTTAACAGTTTCCAGACTTTAATTGCAAAAACTAGCATAGATAGTGATGTTGCTGAAGTCGTGGTTTGTAGGTTTTATATTTTTTTAACGCTCTCTCGGATCTCTTTTGAAATAAGCTGATTCCTGAAGTTCGGAATTTTGAATATCACTGATGTCTTCAAACATCACATTCACAAGTTTCAAATATTGAGTTTGTTCCGACTTTTTTGTTTTAATTCACCGCGGAATCACCCCATTTGTTTCTTCAAAAATCAGATTTCAAACCGAATTTTCTCGAACCTCGTACGTCCGCAGGAAAATCAAAACACATAATTGGAAAGTTCTCATTATTAGCTTTCGAATGTTTTACGTTTCATAGCAATATTCCATGCCCGAGTTATATTCTTTCTTAGTAAGATGTTGCTGTTCACGACGCTCGTACTACTAATAAGCACCGGATTACACTATGGATGATAATCCGCGAGGGTATTATCCTACTATTTCAGCGCACGGGCATATTGTGCACCACCACCACCCTTTCATTCCAATTTCTCTCTTCACCCTGATTAGTATAATATCTGTGCCTACTTTCATCACAGACTTTGATTCTCTTCGTACGAAGAGATTATCTTCTTCTTCTTCACCTTATTCCTCGGCTCTTTTCTCCTTATTATCATAGTATATGTTGGTTTTGTCTAATTTCTGAAATGTACCTGTTTGGTTAGCAAAATATGTCTTAAGCTTCACTCTACGTTAAAGTATATCTCCGTGCAAAACTTCTCTACCACTGTTAAGTGTGTCAAAGATCACAAAGTTGATGAGAATATGACATTTAAATTTGTCTTTCCCATTCTCTTTCGGTTTTTTTGTTCACCCAATCAAAGTTCATTTAATCAGCATTGTCTTATTACCGTAAAATCTATATTAGAATGGTCGTATCTTCTATTGTTCCACGGTACCTCCGGTGAGCCCTTCTATCAGAGAGGCCCTTTAATTGGAGGGGAAATTTTTTCCGGCTATTTCTTTTAAATTTTTGATTGAAAAATTC